TTCCGACGCGTTATATAGTAAGGTTCTTGATGCTTCCGTATGGACCGTACATGCTATTGTTTACGAATTTCTATACAAGAGCAACCCACGGGCTGGAGTGCCTCTGACTCCCTCAACCAGGCCTCCAAAAAACTAATTAACTCGTTTTCTTTGCACTATCAGACTGCTCGTAGTTTGTTAGGGAAACTTAGCAAGCTGCACGCTAATAGTGCCTCCTTCGATGCCAACGTTATTTCTTTCACCGAAACGTAGCTTAACTCCTCTGTTTCGGATTGCGAACTATTCGCTGGCAACTATATTGTCTATAGGCGTGACCGTCAAATGCGTACTGACGGTGGCGTTCTTATTGCTGTGAAATCGGACCTTATTTCTGAACTGGTTCCCATAACCTACTCAGATAATACTTTGGAGTTTGTTGCTGTTCGTGTTCAAGTTCACGACTACTCTCTCTATGTATCATGCTCTTACATCCCACCCCGGTCTGACGCTACTATTTATCTACAGCACCTGTCCTTAATCCAGGGAATTCACTCAACTCTGGGTGTTAATGACCATTTGATAGCTATGGGCGATTTTAACCTTCCTTCCATATCTTGGATGCCATCATCTGACACCAATTTTCTGGTTCCCACTGCAACTCATGACTTAGTCCAAGGTCTTATTGACCTTTCTTTGGGCCAATTGAACTAATAAGAACTTAATAACTTGAAGTCTAGGCTTCACAAGAAATTCACTAGGACTGGGTCACAGGTGGACCTTTCTAGATACTTGACAGCTCGCACAAAATTCTTAGCCCACAATTCTGAATGCTACAGAAACCACCTAAATCGGTGTAGAAAGGAGTTCCAGGCTAATCCTAAACAATTTTTCTCGTTTGTTAATTCAAAACGAAGATCCCAAAATTTTCCTTCTTGTCTTCATCTTAATACTGAGTCCGCGTCTAACGAGCCTGATATAGCGAACCTGTTCGCAAAATTTTTCCAGTCTACGTACTCATCCATTGGCTACAATACAACCTCTTCGTATCCTTATTCTCTTCCACTTTCTAATTCCATTTTCAGGCCCGCTATTTGCGAAGACGATGTTTTTCAGAACCTCAAGACACTAAAACCTTCCTTTTCTTCTGGTCCTGATCGCGTTCCTAGCTGTGCTGGTGCTTTATGCCGACCTCTGTCAATTCTTTTTCAGATGTCGCTTCGTCTTTCATTCTTCCCAGAAAGTTGGAAGGAATCTTTCATCATTCCTCTCCATAAAAAGGGCAGTTAATCTAATATCGAAAACTACAGAGGAATTGCAAAGCTTACTGCTATTCCGAAGTTATTCGAACTTCTGATTGCTGCGCAGCTGCAGCACCAATGTCGGTCAATTATGTCCCCCTCTCAGCATGAAAAACAGATCAACGTCTGCAAACCTTCTAGAATTTAGTGCTGTCATTAGAAACGGCTTCAAATTAAATTTTCAAACAGATGTTATCTTCACCGATTTCAGCAAAGCTTTTGACTCGGTAAATCACCTAATATTACTTAGAAAACTTACGCTTCTTGGTTTCCCTGCTTTATTGACTAACTGGATTGCAGCATATTTATCCAACCGTAGTCAACGTGTTGCCTTTAAGCGCTCTCTCTCAAACCGGGTTTTTGTTACTTCTGGCGTTCCTTAAGGGAGCCACCTTGGGTCACTTCTGTTTGGCCTCTTTATCAATGACTTGCCTGAAGTGGTTCTACAAGTGTGATGATGTAAGCAGATGACGTCAAACTTTGTTTGCCATTGACGAACTCTCATTCACACAACCTTTTGCAAACTGACCTCAATAACATGCAATCCTGGTGCATTAATAATCTCCTCTTTCTCAACAACTCCAAATGCAAATTTATGTCATTTTACCGGAAGAATTGCCTGCTCGCCAATTACTCTATAGGTGCGTGCGATCTTGAACGCATGTATACGGTAACAGATCTCGGAGTCCTATTTAACCACACACTTAATTTTAATGACCACATTGGTCTAATTATTAGTAAAGCTCGAGGGGTTTTCGCCTTTGTTAAGCGATGGTCAAAGGAGTTTGATGATCCTTACACATCAAAACTTCTTTATATCTCACTCGTTCGCCCTATTCTTGAATATTGTTCGTGTGTGTGGTCACCTCAATATGCGAAGTATCAAGACCTTATTGAAACTGTTCAGAAACAATTCCCTTTGTGTGCTCTACGTGGATTACACTGGGATCCACATCGTCGTCTTCCATCGTATGCCGACAGGCTAAGACTTTAAGCCTCCCCACCCTAAAGGATCGTCGAACCTGCCACGGCATTATCTTTATACTTTAGCTAAACAATGATCAAATTTGCTCCATGTATTTATTAAGCAAATTACGTCTCGCAGTCCCTGTAAGGCCTTCTCGTCATTTTCGTCCAAAAGCGTTTGTAAGACGAATAATGACGAGCATGATCCTACTATTTTTTGTTACATGTTGAATTGTCCTACGAGTTAAATGTCCAAAATCTGTTAAGTTACCTATCCTTACCTCTGCCAACCTGATGTGAGTCGGAGCACATCGTTAAAAAACACTCCCTTTTGTTGTGCAGAGGTAAGGGTACAATATAATTTTAAGAATGTCAGTTCATTGCTATTTTCTTTTTATAAATAAAAAAAAATGACCTGCCCAAAGTCTTGACTAAATCCAGAGTGCTTATGTACGCGGATGACGTCAAGCTTTGCGTGCAATTTAATGACGTTCCCTGCCAGTCGGATTTACAAACAGATCTCAATAATTTTCAAACTTGGTGCCGTGTAAACTTATTAAACTTAAATGGCTTGAAATGCGAGCTAATGACATTCTCTCCTGTCGTTCCTAAGCTTGCTACTTACACGCTGAACTCCTGCTCTTTGGAGAGAATTAATTCTGTTGATGATTTGACGTCCGCTTGGACCTAAGACTTGACCTTATTGATCATATTGCGTCTATGGTGAATAGAGCCAGGGGTGTGCTTGGATTTATTAAACGGTGGTCGAAGGAATTCAATGACCCCTATGTTACTAAATCCTTATATACTTCCTTAGTTCGTCCTATCCTAGAATATGGATGCTGCGTTTGGAGCCCTCAGTACGGCGTCCATAGTAAACGCATTGAGTCGGTTCAAAAGAACTTTTTACTTTTCGCTCTACGCGGTTTAAATTGGGATGCAAACCAAAGATTACCTTCCTACTCTAGTAGACTCCTATTAATAAACTTGCCGTCCTTAGCCAATCGTAGAACGATGCTAGGGATAACCTTTATTTTTAACCTTATACATGGTGATGTGGAAAGTGCTGACTTGTTGAGTCAGCTTAATTTCCATGTACCATGTAGAACTACTAGATCCTATATCCCATTAGTGTTGCGCCACTGTAGAACCTCCTTTGAACTGCATGAACCTTTTAGAGTGCTATGTGCAAATTATAAAGATTTGTACACAGTAATCTCTAACGTGGATACCCTTCCCAAATTAAAATCTTTAATACTAACACACTTAATAAGCATGCAAGCTAACAATCTGGCAGCACGCCGGTAGACAATTTTCCTCGTATTCCGTCCTATATTTTCCATCGCGCCTACTAACACCTTACCCAAACAGGCAAGTGCCTGGTGTCATACGGGCCACTTGAATGTCCTCCCTTAGAGCATCAACGTCCATATAAAAAAAAAAAAAAAAAAAAAAAACGAAGCTTACTTTGGCACGCCGAAATTTATATACCCTTGCAGATAGTACTTCGATGACTAGGAATCCATACAATATAAAATATATATATTAATGTTGAAAAACAATGAAGTAATACCTGCTTTCATTTCATTCACCTATACATATTATATTTTCAGTTTTACATTCACAGATTTGCATTTTTGGTCCACATCTAACGATCGTTTGTATGACACCTATGTGATATAGTCGTCCGATTTTCATAAAATTTGACACAAAATTTAAGACTGATATAAAATGGCTATATCTGAAATTTAATGAAAATCTGCTGAAAACTGAAAACGTTATAATTTTTAATTGTATTCATTTTTTGATCGTTCCTATGGCAGCTATGTGATATAGTAGTCCTGTTTTTTTTATAACTTTACACAAAATTGTAGATTAAAATAAAATGGCTATATCTCATATTTGAATAAAATCTGGGGAAAACTGAAGAAGTTATAATCTTTAATTTTATTAATTTCTTTTATGTCTTATAAAATGGCTATGTATCAAATTTCATGAAAATCTGTTGGAATCTGAAAATGTTATACTTTTTAATTGAATTAATTTCTCGATCGTTCCTATGGGAGCTATATGATATAGTCGTCCGGTTTTCATAAAATTTTTCACAAAATTGTAGAATAATATGAAATGGCTATACCTCAAATTTGATCAAATTCTGTTGAAAACTAAAAATGTTATAATTTTTTTTTTGTAAATATTTTCCGATCAATTCTATATATATAGTCGTCCGATCCGGCCTGTTCCGACATATATACGAGTGAGATTATATAGAAGACTAACTTCAAAGTTTCATTCAGATAGCTTCAAAACTGAGAGACTAGTTTGCGTAGAAACGGACAGACGGACATGGCTAGATCGACTCGGCTGTTGATCCTGATCAAGAATAGATATACTTTATATATACTTTATATAGTCGGAGGTGCCTCCTTCACTGCGTTGCAAACTGCTGACTGAAATTATAATACCCTGCAAGGGTATAAAAAAAAGGAGGTACCTTTTAAAAAAAAAAAAAAAAAAAAAAAAAAAACCATTCACAAAATATACACAAAAACAAAAAATATTAAAAAAACACAAAACAAAAAAGGCCAACAGTCAATAGTTGCAAAGGATATTCCCATGAGCGCAAAGTATTTAATTAATTTATAAGCTAATTAAATATATATTAAATTAACAAAATGATTTTTATGTTTAAGATTGCTATAACAACAAATTACCAATATTATAACAGGTACCATGAAAAGTAAAACAAATACGTACTTCAAATAAGTCAACCGGAACTTCATTTTTTAGCAAATATTTTTGAACACTGGCAACAGCATCTTTTGAGTATTCCTATAAATTATTATTTGTTTTTAATTATGAAAATTTTAAAAGATTTAATTAACTATACTTACATATGTGTGTGATAACATTTCTTCCATTATAAAATTATCATAAATTTCCCTTGCTAACTTTTTACGCTCGTCATAGCATTCTGTTTTTTCAAATGTTTTTATCTAAACAGTATTGACAATAAGAAATGATTCCAAAATATTTATATGAATAAATTTTACCTGTTCATAAAATTTTAATTGCTGAATAGGTTCATCAGAATCGTTCTCACAAAAATCTTTAAAAAGTAAGTAACCTAAAAAAAGAAATTTTAATGAAGTTCAATATAATAACAAATACATACCCAAAACTTCATTAAAAATTTTGTGAAAGTTTAATTCGTTTTCCTTTTCCAGGTATTTATACATCACACTTCTGACACTAGAATAAAATGAAACTAATTTATTAATTTAACCACATACACAAACTAAAAAATATTAGAAAAAAGAGATAAAGGTAATTAAAATACTTAAGCCTATTTTATCAATAGCGAGCCTTACAAAAACTAAATATATTTAATTATGGCTCATTAAGAGGCAGCCTTAAACAGTTCGAATAAACTACAGAGTATAACACATGGACTGAAAAGCCCCGGGCTTTTTTTTTAGTTAATACAATCTTCATAAGAGAGCTGTAAAAATTTCATGATATTCTATTCATTAGTTTGTGAGTTATTGTGTTATGAGTGACGCTACGCTTTTATTTAAAAAAAAAATGGATCAAAAACAATTTTGTGTTTTGATATAACACTGATTCTTGATGGGAAAACATACCGTTCTAGGAAAGCCTTGCCTTGGAAAGTGTTATGGGGACTCAGCTCTATCAGAAAAAACAACATCAATGACTTTAACCATGGTCGTAGAGACACTGAAGATGCAGAAAGCAGCGGACGTCCAAATGAGGAGGTAACACCGAAAAACATAAAAAAAATCCACAAATAAATGATCAAAAAGTGAAGTTGCGTCAGTTAGCTGACAAAAGAATTTTTTAGATTTATATTGAATAAGCATTTGACTATGATAAAGCTCTTCTCAAAATGGGTGCCGCATTTGCTCACATCAAGTCAACGCACCGTGTCACAATTCAATCAAAAGAATGGCAAAGACTACGTGAATTCAACTTCGAATTGCTCCCACATCCACCGTATTCGCCAGATTTGGATCCCAGGGACTACTGGCTGTTCGCAACTTGAACAAAATGCTCGCCGGTAAGAAATATTTCACGAATGAAGAGGTTATCGCCAAAACTGAGGCCTATTTTGAGGCAAAAAATAAATCGTACTACAAAAGTCGTAGAAATGTTAGAGCGGCGCTGGAATTATTGCGTTACTCTTAATAAAGATTACTTTGATGAATAAAGCAAATTTTGAACAAAAAAAAAACCTGTTTTCTATGTTAGGCCTGAGATTTTTCAGCCGATGTGTTACAAATACCTGAACAAAAACGAGTATATTATATATTAAGTTAATATTATTAACATATTTATACCCTTGCAGGGTATTATAATTTCAGTCAGAAGTTTGCAACGCAGTGAAGGAGGCATCTCCGACCATTTAAAGTATATATATTCTTGATCAAGATCAACAGCCGAGTCGATCTAGACATGTCCGTCTGTCCTTCTGTCCGTCTGTCCGTTTCTACGCAAACTAGTCTCTCAGTTTTGAAGCTATCTGAATAAAACTTTGCAGTTAGCCTTCTATATACTCTCACTCGTATATATGTCGGAACGGGCCGGATCGGGCGACTATATCATATAGCTGCCATAGGAATGATCGGAAAATTAAAAAAAAAATTTTTACATTTTCAGTTTTCAATAGAATTGGATCAAATTTAAAATATAGCCATTTTATTATACTCTTCAATTTTGTGTACAATTTTATGAAAATCGAACTACTATATCATATAGCTCCCATAGGAACTATCGATTAAAAACTTTTTCAGTTTTCAACAGATTTTCATCAAATTTAAGGTATAGCCATTTTATATTAGTCTTAAATTTGGTGTCAAATTTCATGTAAATCGGACCACTATATGATATAGGTGCCATACAAACGATCATTTGATGCAAACTAGTCTCTCAGTTTTGAAGCTATCTGAATGAAACTTTGCAGTTAGTCTTCTATATACTCTCACTCGTATATATGTCAGAACGGGCCGGATCGGACGACTATATCATATAGCTGCCATAGGAATGATCGGAAAAGTTTTACAAAAAAAATTATAACATTTTTAGTTTTCAACAGAATTTAATCAAATTTGAAATATAGCCATTTCATATTATTCTAAAATTTTGTGTAAAATTTTATGAAAATCGGACGACTATATCATATAGCTCCCATAGGAACGATCGAGAAATTTGAGAGGAATGAGAATGGCGGTTGCTGTTGTCGGAAGACTGACAATCGCGGTGGCGATAACATTTTTAGTTTTCAACAGAATTTAATCAAATTTGAGATATAGCCATTTCATATTATTCTAAAATTTTGTGAAAAATTTTATGAAAACCGGACGACTATATCATATAGCTCCCATAGGAACGATCGAGAAATTAATTCAATTAAAAAGTATAACATTTTCAGTTTTCAACAGATTTTCATGAAATTTGATACATAGCCATTATATAAGAAATAAAAGAAGTTAATAAAATTAAAGATTATAACTTATTCAGTTTTCACCAGATTTTCATCAAATATCATTTTATTTTAAACTAAATTGTGTGTAAAGTTATAAAAAAAAACCGGACTACAATATCACGAACGATCAAAAAATGAATACAAGTAAAAATTATAACGTTTTCAGTTTTCAGCAGATTTTCATTAAATTTGAAATATAGCCATTTTATATCAGTCTTAAATTTTGTTGCAAATTTTATGAAAATCGGACGACTATATCACATAGGTGCAATACAAACGATCGTTAGATGTGGAGCAAAAATGCAAATCTGTGAATGTAAAACTGAAAATATAATATGTATAGGTGGCTATGGCCATTTTATATTATTCTTAAATTTTGTGTAATAGGTGCCATACAAACGACCGTTTGATGTAGAAGAAAAATACAAATCTGTGAATATAAAGCTGCAAATATAATATGTATAGGTGAATGAAATGGAAGCAGGTATTACTTCATTGTTTTTAAACACATATATATATAATTTATTTGGTATGGATTCCTAGTCATAGAATTTCTGTCTGCAAGGGTATTTAAACTTCGGCGTGCCGAAGTTAGCTTCCTTTCTTGTTATTTTTTATATTAAATGCTTATATCTGAAGAATATTGTGCCAAGTATTTTTATACTTGCCGGATTTTTTTTTCCTTAAAACTTTAAAGCGCTTTTCTCACAACTTACAATTTCAAAGTCGGTGCCAATCATAATTTCAAAACTGCTGCACCGATCCTTTTGAAATTTTAAACACAAATTCTGTACATATTTTGCAAGGTAACGCTGTCGCCTTTTTTTCGTTTATTATTTTGATTTAACAATGACAAATTAGACGATTTTTTTCTTAGAAAAAATTAAAAAATTGGAATTAAAATAAAAACTCTACAGCATTACCTGGGGTATTCAAAAATCTAACGAATGAATTTGGATTTTTTTCTTCGAATGTTGTACTTTAATGTACCATTCGTTAAATAAATACATTTTAACTGTGTCGCCGGAAAAAAAATTACAAAAACATGTAATTTTTCGCATTATTTGACCATACCTTGTAGAGTAAATTTTTTAAAGAGTTCGTTAGGGACATTTATTTTGAAAGACGAAATGTCCCTGGCATACGAAAATTTGAATTATTCCACCTTTATTTTTTTTAGTTTTACGAAAACGCGATAAAAAACCTTAAAACCGCCCTTGGTTTGCCACATGAAAGACATCATCTCCCTTTCCTCATCGCGACAGGCCTCGCAGCAGTAGCGTAAGCCGATGTTTTTACTTATATCGTCCACCGTCCGAGTTGCAACACCCATGCACTTGGCGTGCATGGCGTTGTCGCACAGCCAGCAGCCGATTGTAAGGTCGCCCGCAGAAATAGCTAATAGCGGATATTATTAAGACTTACCACTGTACTTGTACTTGAGAAAAAAAACAGAGTTATAAAGATATAAAGATATAAAGCGCCACAGCGAGAGCAAGAGTGCGTGGGAGATAGAAAACTAAAACTTTTAGTTGTCGCCACGGCGCAAACGAAAGCAAAACGAAGAAGGCACAAAAAGGAATGCAAAATATGCAAAAGTTAACAAACTTGGGAAATAAAACTAATTAAATACACAAATCAGAATAGGTGCATGCACACGCGAAGTGATCGAGAAGATGTTGTACACAAAATAGGAGATTTAATTTAACCCCGGTGGTTATTAGCAAACTTTAAAACAAATTGAGAGCTCAAGAAAAAAACACGTCCGTTGGAAAGATGAAAGATTATATCAAACACCATATTCGAATTGAATAGTCACGAAATGCAGAAAGACCTACGTATCAAAAACGTAAGATATTAGAAACAAGAAAGGAAGCTAACTTCGGCACGCCGAAGTTTATATACCCTTGCAGATAGAACTTCTATGAATAGGAATGCATACAATATAAATTATATATATTTGTGTTAAAAAACAATGAAGTAATACCTGCTTTCATTTCATTCACCTATACATATTATATTTGCAGTTTTACATTCACCGATTTTTCCTCTACATCAAACGATCGTTTGTATGGCACCTATATGATATAGTCGTCCGATTTTTATGAAATTTGCCACAAAATTTAAGACTTATATAAAATGGCTATACCTCAAATTTGATGAAAATCAGCTGAAAACTAAAAAAGTTATAAATTTAATTGTATTAATTTCTCGATCGTTCCTATGAGAGCTATATGATATAGTAATCAGATTTTTATAAAATTTTACACAAAATTTTAGAATAATATGAAATGGCTATATTTCAAATTTGATTAAATTCTGTTGAAAACTAAAAATGTTATCGCCACCGCGATTGTCAGTCTTCCGACAACAGCCACCGCCATTCTCATTCCTCTCAAATTTCTCGATCGTTCCTATGGGAGCTATATGATATATTAGTCCGATTTTCATAAAATTTTACACAAAATTGTAGAATAATATGAAACGGCTATATCTCAAATTTGATGAAAATCTGTTGAAAACTGAAAATGTTATACTTATTAATTGAATTAATTTCTCGATCGTTCCTATGGGAGCTATATGATATAGCCGTCCGATTTTCATAAAATTTTACACAAAATTGTAGAATAATATAAAATGGCTATACCTCAAATTTGATCAAATTCTGTTGAAAACTAAAAATTTTATAATTTTTTTTGTAAAACTTTTCCGATCATTCCTATGACAGCTATATGATATAGTCATCCGA